GAATAATTAAACATAGTTGTACCGTTGGCCTATCAGTTGTACCTGCTGGCCTACATACTATCAGTTGTACTAGTTGGCCTATAGTCTATCAGTTGTACCAGTTGAATACTTAAACGTAGTTGTACCTTGTTAGAACTTTCTCTTAGATGTACCAGTTGACTGAGATCTGACTCGATTCTACTTAAAATGTGACTTCATTCAACAATGTACGAGCTACACTCGATTCTAACCAATGCCTATACCTCCATTCGCCAATATACTATCGATTCTTCCAAAAAAAAACAATTCTCATTCAAATCCCTAATTTTAAAGATTTCCAAAATACTCTTAAATTACCTAAAAATCAATCAATGCAGCAATGAAAAGAGGATACATGACAAGAAACTAACCGATTTCTAGAAGGAGGAGGCGTCCGTTCAACCGTACTTGCAGATCGGCGATGTGGGAGTTCGGAACTGTGGCGGAGGAGAAGAACGCGGGTTCGGAGGAGAGAGAGAGAGAAGGACGAGAGAGGAGAGAGAGAGAGATGAGAGATAAATGTTTTTCTTTTTTCTTTTTCGTTTTTTTTGTTCTTCTTTCATTAAGGGTAGTTTGGTCAGTTCACATTCTCGGTGGCATGCAGATTTTCTGATGGCATGCCAGATCATTTTTTCCTCAAAAGTAGCATAAGTAACAAAAATTCTAATTTAAGTATTGCTACAGTAAGTGGCACGTTAGACCAAAATCCCTAACTTAAATCTTAATAACAATTTTAAAGTGGTAAAACAGTAAATAAAGTAGACATCAAAGGGCAAAGTGGGAAAACACCACTCGACAAATATAATTTTTCTTCTGTCTTGGACAAAAAGCTTGATTCAATTCCATTCCTTTTTGTTAATATACACATCTCTGATTCAACTCCGGCGAATTCAGAAGATCGAAGAAGATGAGTAGAGGAAGCGGCGCTGGTTATGATCGTCACATCACCATCTTCTCACCGGAAGGTCGTCTCTTTCAAGTTGGTCAGTACTCTCCGATTCCCACTCTCAATTCCTTTTTCGAGCTCTGAAAACTGAATACACTTTGCTTTTTGTAGAATATGCCTTCAAGGCCGTGAAAACAGCTGGTATTACTTCAATCGGAGTTCGTGGGAAAGATTCCGTTTGCGTCGTTACCCAGAAGAAAGTTCCGGTGAGTGAATCTCTCGCCTTTAGGGTTTGCAAAAGTTTGCATCTTTTATTGAACCTTTAGGGTTTCTAGTAGATTTAGGATTGTTGGTGTATCTTACCGATTAGGGTTTTGAGTTATCTTATCTTTTACTTTGTTTTTGGGTTGGGACAGGACAAGCTTTTGGATCAGTCTAGTGTTACACATCTGTTCCCGATTACCAAGTACATTGGATTGGTAGCTACTGGCATTACAGGTTTGTATTGTGACCTTTTGACTTCTCTTAAGCTGTAGAGTTTATTGCTCTGGATGGTAATTTAAAAATGTGAATTTCATTTTCAGCTGATGCAAGGTCTTTGGTTCAACAAGCAAGGAATCAAGCAGCTGAATTTCGGTTCACTTATGGATACGAGATGCCTGTCGACATTCTTGCTAAATGGTTTCAAGTCGTTTCTTTTTTCAAATTGGTCTTTAGCTTCTTAGTGGAGGCTGGCTTTTAGTTATTGATCTATCTAGCTCTCTTGTGATAACTGGCGTTGCTGATAAATAACTATTTTGCTTACAGGATAGCGGACAAGTCGCAGGTCTACACTCAACATGCTTACATGAGACCCCTTGGAGTTGGCAAGTTTGCTATCTTTTTCTTTTCTTATGACCTATCTATGCATTAATGTGTACATGTGTTTGATGAATTTTATTAGCTGACAAAAGGATTGTTCTTGTTGTGTCTCTTTGTGAAGTTGCTATGGTATTGGGCGTTGATGAAGAGAATGGTCCCTTACTTTACAAATGTGACCCAGCTGGACATTTTTACGGTCACAAGGTATTATCACTCTTAGCTTATGCTTTAACTAAACTTCTCTTCTAATGCTTACTGTTTTGATTGCTTTTACTGGCCTGCATCAAGATATCTTGATAACATATCTGAATAACATGTTCTTACAAGCATATTGACATATACGAAACTACTTACTTCTTGTCACTGCTTGTAATTAACATAGAAGAAAATGCCTCAGTCTATAAGTCTTTTTAATAAGCATAAACGTAAATAGTATAATAGGAGTGGGTTGGTCATAATAGCTGAGAGTTTTGGTCATTTGGGTTGTTTTTGGTAAGCCTTTTGGGCTTTGGGATGGTTTGGGTACTCTATAACATAGCCTAACTTTCACTTTGGTTTTTTTATCCGGTTGCTCCTTGGTTCATTGGTTTACTTGTTTTCATTTGAAGATTCACAGAGAAGAATAAAGGAAAAAATTTCAATCCTGTCTTTCTCATTTGCTGCTCTTAACACTTTTTAGGAATCTTATGTATTTAGGTTTCTAAGTTACGGATTGATCCTAGGTTGAAACAAAAAAGTGTCACGTTTTGTGTACCTATTCAATGACATAACTATATACAGGTTACACATGAGTCTTGTAGACTATATGACCAAGATCTCTAGAGGATATACAAAATTTTATTCTCTCTCTCAGAAGTCGTAGATATTTGATGTTGGAGTGCCATGTATCTGAGAAGAAGCTAATAAATAAGCAACTATATTCATGCAGGCAACAAGTGCTGGAATGAAGGAACAAGAAGCAGTCAATTTCTTGGAGAAGAAAATGAAAGAAAACCCAGCTTTCACATTTGATGAAACCGTGCAGGTAAATCTTTCATATTTTGCCTGTTTATGTTCGAATGTGGTAACATATGTTCATTTACCGGGTGATTACTTGTTCTGTTACTTTGTAGATACATAAGGGTGTAGCAATTGGACTGGAATATACAAATCTATTAATATTCTAGATGCAAGTACCAAATGCACATTGTTCCTCCCGTTGATAACTTTTTTACTTTTGTAGACTGCCATATCAGCTTTGCAATCTGTTCTTCAAGAAGACTTCAAGGCTACTGAGATTGAGGTATACAAAACTTTTCTCGTATACCCATTTTCTTTTTATTGGCCAAGCTTGTATTTTCAGATTGGAATAGCAATTGATTCATTTGTGGTTCATATATCTTATCAAACCGGTTGGTGGAATGATAGGTTGGAGTGGTGAGAGCAGAGAACCCGGAATTCCGTGCATTGACAACGGAGGAGATTGAGGAGCATTTGACAGCCATTAGTGAACGAGACTGATCGTTTTAGTGAAACAAGTGTGAGTTACGTTTATTTGCTTTGCTTCGATTAGACATTCCGCTAAGTGACCACTCTCCATTAATCTTTTGTTTGGTCTTGCTTAATTTGATTTACTTAGCAAACCCTCCAAACTTGAGAAACAAAAGAAAAGCACTGTTAAGGCTGTGAAAGCATCCGTGTCTTTTGACTTTTCAGAAATGACTTCACTCATATCATCACTTTCTAGCTTTTTCTTTCTATCGTAGCAGTTCTTGTGTCTTCGTCTTCACCAGTTCTTCAATCTTTTGAGAAACTCGAATTTGGTTAAGGTTTCAGTTAGAAAGGGAGGGATCATGCTTATTGCTTACTATCCAAATTGATGTCTCTCTTTTTTAATCAACTTCAATCCTGATAGTTGACACGCAAAATAGTATTGTTGAAATTTTTTTTGCATCTGCATGATGCTTGCAAATCCCAAAATCACTCCAAGAATCAAACTTTACTCGACTCGCATTTCTTTCACTATCTCACATAAACGAATTCAACTTGAGAAAGTAAAATAAGTAAAGAAACTGAGTATCCAGTAGATAACCAAACCCGAATCCAAACCAACCCAAAAAAAACCATCCTGATCTGATTTGGTTCTAGATAAATATCTGAATAGATCTTTAGAGGTACTTTGGGTTTCGGGTAATACCCGATCCGAACTGAAATCCGAACTAATACCCGACAAAACCCACAGCTAACTAACACCATTAATCTTTTTTATCTAGCTTCGGGTAATTCAGACACTTTCGAGAATGTACGTGTAGTTTGGATAGTTTTTCTACCAGGTTTTTCGGATAATGCATACACTTTTGAGTATATATTTTTGGGGCAATTTTGGATATTTTGGCTATCGGGTTAAACCTGATCCGCAACGAACCGAACCAAGCAGTTCACATTTGATAACTGATTCTGAACCGAAATGACAAACATCGGTTTGGTATGGGTGGTTCGGATATTTATTGCATGCCTAGTTGAGATGATCATTTTGCCCAATCCTCTTAAACGTTTATGCCAATTATTTACAAACGGGAAAATAGAAAGTAAAGTGATCCTGAAAACTATCAATTAAAAAATGAACTATGTGTACATCATATAGGTTCGTGTCATGCATTACGGACATAATGATTGTAGTTTTGGATAGTACTTTATCAAATTCCAGCTATTAAAGACGTGGATGATGTCAAGTTTTCAATATAGATTTAAGAACATATAGACGAGTGATCTATAACGCGTCTTTCTCTAACACCAAATGTTTTTTTTTTTTTCTTATAACTTCTTATTAAGACCCAAAGTTGTTACAACTTGTATAGAAAAAGAACAATATATTTATGTTTAACGCTTTTGCTTCCTTTGATTGAAGAATCAAACAATGAAAAAAAAATCAACTTTACCTCTATCCAAATCCTATTCTAGGTAAAGAAAGCAAAACCTATTCTAGATTTTTTTTTGTTTTTTTAATGGTAAGAATGTATTATTTACATCTATTGTAAAAACAAAAAAAAAAAAAAAGTACTGAGTGGAGGAAAGAAGAGAGAAACTCAGTACCGTTCCCCTCCGGCTTCGTTACGCATTGGCGAGTTGAATCCGTTTCTCAAAGTTACCCGGTGGTTTCTTGCCGTGTGCGCCGGAGACCGGAACTTTTGATGGTTATCAGTCTTAGAAACGTTGCGAGGCTTGTCGAAGTTTTGAAGACTTGTCACTTTAACTTCACGGCTTGGTTTAGTAGGAACCGTGTAAGTAAATACCCCAATGGGAATATCATCTTTATAATCTTTGATGTCTTGGAGAACTGAGACAACAGTGCTGATGTCTGGCCTGGTCTTTGGTCGGTACCTTAGGCATTGATAAGCTAGAGTTGCTGCCTTTCGTGCTCCGGTCTCTGAGTACTGATCTTCAAGCCTCGGGTCCATTATTCTCCCGAGTTTACGTGCGTCGTTGAGCATTGGACGAGCCCACTCAACGAGGGTTTCTTTCCTTGACGATCTCGCTATGTCCACCGATTTCCGACCTGTCAACAGCTCAAGCAACACCACTCCAAAGCTGTATACATCACTCTTAGCCGTTAGATGACCTGTCATTATGTACTCTGGCGCTGCGTACCCTTGTGTGCCCATCACGCGAGTGGACACATGTGTATCATCGCCTTGTGGTCCGTCTTTTGCTAGCCCGAAGTCCGAGAGTTTCGCTGTATAATCCTGGAAAAAAAAAAAATCAAAACATCAAATGTTTATTCAAATCCAACAATTAGAATTTTGAATGGTGACCGTGGATGGAATTGCGGTTCCACCATAATTTGAATAGAAAGAAACAATCAAACAAATATGTCCATTTTAGGATATTGTAGATGTCTTAAGTAGTAATAATACCCATTTTCTACATACTCGGAGATTAGTCAAGATTTTGGTCCATGATCTACTACGATTACCAAAAAAAAAAATAGTCCGCTCTAAAAGTAAAACGGTCTAGTTTGGTGTAAGCGTTCAAATTCTTAAGATCAATAAAGAAGAATGCTTGCTTACAGAATCTAACAAGATATTGGAGGCCTTGAAATCGCGATAGATGACAGGCTTCTCGGCTTCATGGAGAAACTGTAGACCCTTGGCAGCTTCGTAAGCGATCTTCAACCTAGTTGTCCATGGCAGCGGTAGGGAACACCCTGCAAACAATTTCATCAGTTCCGGTTCTTAAAAGGAATTAGATCTTTTGATTTGATGGTTACAAAACAAAGTCAACTCACTTCTGAAGAGTTGAGACTCTAAACTTCCACGAGGCATGAACTCATAAACAAGAAGTCTATGTTCTTCCTCGCAGCAATATCCGATCAGCTTCACCAGATTCGGGTGCTTTAGTTTTCCCAAACACATAACCTCCGTCTGAAAAATTTACCCCAAAAGATTAGTTAGCCATTTAGACCCAAACATTTTGCATCCCAAACAGAGGATTAGGGAAATGAATGTACGAACCATCCACTCACGGTGACCTTGAAGACCATCAAGATCGAGAAGTTTAACAGCGACAGGCTGAGCCTTAAGACCAGGACGGAGCCTGTCGTCAATAAACCCTTTGTGAACCGGACCAAACCCTCCTTCACCAAGAAAGTTGCTAGAAGAGAAGCTTTGTGTTATGACTTTAAGCTCTGCTTGTGTGAATACATGGAGATCCGAGCCAGCGAGAGAGATTGAGAGATCTTCCGACAAGGTAGTGGAACTTGGATTGCTTATGTCTAGAATCGACAATCCGAGAAACGATTTCTGTTTGGTTATCACACCTTGACCATCATCTTTCTTTGTCTTCTTGGGAGAATATATGTTGTCTGGATCTTGGAAACACAAAACCATTAATGATCTCCAAGATGATTTCTTCTTCACCGCCATTGTTTTGTTTTTGGAGGTGTTTTGTGTTTTTTTTCTTTTTCTAATGGATTTTGGTTTGTAATGGGAGAAAATAAAGAGCTTTTAAAGTGGAAGAGAAGAGGACCAAGACTTTTTATATTATTTCAAAATTCATATTTACTAACAACTATGTTTCTTTTCTCAAGAACTTTTCTTACCAAAAAGGCAAAAATTAAGTGTTTTTTATTATGAAAAATATTTGTTTTATTAGAGAAAGAGGACGACGACTTCTTGAGGTGGGTTTATACTTCTTTCTGAAGTTTTAACCACGCTTTGACATTGTCATGTAATTCATGTTTAGACGAATAAGTTCTCAGTCGTGAGTGGACGGCTAAAAGGGAGAAGATAATGACATGTTTACCATTTTTTCCTATAGTATTGTGAATACAACTAGGTAATACCTTTTTCATACAATGATAGTTTGAATAGTAAAATTTAGTAATTGATTATACTAATGTTGTCAATATGTTTCTAACCAGATTTTAATCCAGTAAAGTGTTGATAGAAGAAAACGAAAACATTTGGATAGTTTGAGGTGTAATAGATAAATGTTTTATCAAATGGTCTAATATACTGTTTTTTCAAAGAAGCTAGTACTACATAAGCTATTATAGAAATTTACATTTTCAATGATCTGAATTCGAAATTTCATCAAAAATTCAAATCTCGTATTAGGAGTAACGAGTCGATGTTCTTAAAGATTCTAAACCCGAATAAAAAAAAAAAAATGTGTTTTAAGTATTAGTTAGAAATGAAATTAAATAAACATTCTATGATAATTGCACTCTATTTAATTCTACAAGAAAAATAGTAAGGTCAATATCAAGAATTAGTTGTCAAAATCGCAGAAATTTCATTTAAATTAAAAATGATTTGGTAGAATTGCAATATGCGAGTGAGTCAAGCTTCTAGAACACTTTGATAAAATATTTTTTTTTTTTTTTTTTTTTTTTTTTTTTGTGAACACACTTTGATAAAATATTATACAACAAATTATGTGAGCGCGTTGGCGAAGAAGGCGACTTGTTCACTTTGAGTTGTTGACATTTGCTTTGTCCCACCAAATGACGTAACACATCCTTTGGAACGTTTTGAAACGAAGCGGTTTTGACGATAATTAATAGAATTTGCTAATTAGGTCGACTTTTCCATTTCGATTTCTACAATAACTACGTTTTGATTTCACGATATAAAATAATTGTTTCTTATGTTTTAGATGCAAGAACTAAAGAAATAATATGCCGAATTTACATATCACACTAATTTAGTGATGGTTTATACATATCACACGTGATCAGTCTCGTTTCCATGTCGTATGTTTAAAGCCCTCATGCAGTCAGGACAGTACTAGTTGATAGTGAACTTTGTGGGGAGAGTCCCACACGAGACGTGCCGGTAATGTTTCTAGTTAAAGGCTTAAAGCAACAAACGATCCGCACATAAAAAATCTCTCAACAGTATGCAAGATATATCGGCCCAAATTATTTGGATGCTTAAAGGAAAAAAAATTTGGTCCATTAACAAAAACTGTCAAAAAAAATAAAAAATACAAGTTTCAGCAATAATGGGAATCGAAACTGTGACTTCGACACTAAAAAGGTTCGAACAGACCACTAGACCAATGTAACTCTTATGAAATTGATGCCCCTAAAACTATTTATAATTAATGCTGCCTAAAACCCTTGTTTCATGGATAAGAGAACTTCCAATTTTTTTTTTTTTTTGAATGTAATGTTAAATTATATTCAAAAGAAAAATAAACGTTTGTACAGCAAGTGCAGCAGTTTTTGAAAAATTGAAACTGAAAACATATGCATAAACTTAAAAATTAACTTCTCGATTCAAACCAAAGTTGAAGTCCTTTGTCGTATCTCCTATCACCGCTTGCCCTGATTGAGGAAAACTTGTTCCGTACTTGTTTGTCAATCATTCTTATGAGACGTGATGCTGGGATCGGATCCTCACCGTGCCGTCTCCCGTTTCTCTCTCTCCACACATTATACACCGTAGCTTGAAAGAGGTATTTAGCTATAAAGCTCTCCAATCGAGTACTTTGAAGTTGAGAGACGTATGTAACCAGAGAGTTCCAGTCAACCGTGTACCTTGATTTGAGAATGCCTTTAGCCAACGCTGCCCAAATTTCAGAAACAAACCCACATGAGAAGAATAGATGATCTCGGGATTCTGAGCTATGATGACAAAAAACGCATGCCATTGATGGCCCCCCCTGCCATTTTGCCATCCTATCTGCTGTTGGAAGTCGATCATGTACCGCAAGCCAGAGACAAAAAGAAAATTTGGGAGTTGCGTGGGGGAACCAAACTCCCCTGAACCAAGCAACTTTATTTGAAACAGTTCTAGTGTGGTTCCAAGTGTCTTTAGTAGAGAAACTTGGCTTGAAAACGTTTTGCTTCCCTCTCCATAACACAACATCGTCTTCCTCTGTTCTGCGTTGCCGAGCTGAGATTATTGCTTCTTCAATTGAGTTTAAACAATCAGTTCTATGTCGTCTACGTCGACGATCAGTCCAAGCCTCCGCTAGTGTCATTTGCCGGGTTATACCAAGATCGATTACACCTCTAGAACCTGCAACTTCCATAAGAATTCCCAGCTGCGACCAATTGTCGTACCAAAAAGAAGTCTGCTTTCCATTTCCCACAGCCATCTTACAGAAAGATTTTGCCGTATCTCTATATTTGAGCAGTTTCTGCCAAATCCAAGATCCCAAGCTCGTTTTGTGCTTTACTGACCAGAAAGATTCATGTTTGAGGAGGTTTGTTTCAGTCCATTTGACCCACAGTGAGTTGCCGTAGGAGACAATTTTCCATATTAACTTCAAGCAACAAACATCATTTGCATCCTTTAGTGATCGTAGACCAAGCCCACCCTCTAGCTTTGGTTTACAAACTGCTTCCCAAGCTATCTTTGCTTTTTTTGAACTCATTTCTGCTCCCGACCATAAGAAAGCAGAGCATAGCTTGTCAATCTCCCGTATACATTCTCGTGGAAGCCTGAACGCCGCCAACCAAAAATTACATATGCTCCTTAAAACCGAACTGATTAAGTTTAACCTTCCAGCAAAGGAGAGAAACCTCGCTGTCCATGATCCAATTCTCTTTCTGATCTGCTCTAATAATGGGAGATAATCAGCTTTAACAAGGCGTTTGGTAACGAGAGGGAGCCCCAAGTACCGCACTGGAAGCTGGCCTACATCAAAAGAAAATCTGTTAGCTATCTCCTGCGAGACAGAATCTTGAGTTCCCGCCAGAAATACTGTTGATTTTTCCATACTAATCTTCAAACCCGATCGTTTAGCAAAATCATCAAGCACTTTCACTATCCCTTCAATAGATCTCACCTTACCATCGGAAAGAATCATAAGGTCATCCGCAAAGCTTAGGTGAGTTAAGCCTAAGCTTTTACATCGGGGATGGTAACCAAATTTCCTCGCACCCGCGGCTTTGTCAAGCATTTTGGAAAGCACATCCATACTGATCACAAACAAATAAGGCGAGAGAGAACACCCCTGTCGTAGCCCTCTTGCACTATTAAAATATCCAGCAAGCTCACCATTAACTTGAACCGAGAAAGAGGCTGTGGTAATACAAAGAGAAATCCAGTGAATAAATTCCGGCGGAAAATTCAGAGCGGTGAGAGTATTAGTAATGAATGACCATTGGACTGAATCAAACGCTTTCGAGATGTCAATTTTAATAGCACACCGCTCCGAGATTCTGTCCTTATGATAGTCTTTTACTAACTCCGTCGCTAGTAACAGATTCTCGATTAATAGCCGATCTTTCACAAATGCAGATTGGTTACCGGAGATAAATTTAGGGAGCACCGATTTGAGCCTGTTAGCAATGATTTTTGATATTACTTTGTAGATCACGTTGCAGCACGAGATTGGCCTGTAGTCTCTCATTACTCTCGCTTCCAATTTCTTAGGTATGAGAGCAAGAATAGTAGAGTTGATACCTTTGGGGAGAAAACCTTTCGCAAAAAAAGATTGTATTGCCAATGTGAATTCATTTCCAATGATCTCCCAAGTCGCTTTATAGAATTCTGAAGTATAGCCGTCGGGACCTGGTGATTTATCATTTGGTATGGAAAATAACACTGTCTTAATCTCATCAGCCGAAATTGTACCTGTGAGCATTTCTTTATCCGTTTCTGAGCATCTAAACGGCAACAAGTCTTGGAGCTCACCAACTGTTGTACCTTCATAATCATTCGGGATTAACTGCAGAAATTCCCTAAAGAATCTTTCAGCCTCCTCTTTTATTTGTTCTCCTTTGAACGTCACAGAACCATCTTCACTCTGGATTTCTCTGATTGAGTTTTGTGCTTCTCTTGTCGCAGCCGCTCTGTGGAAAGTTTTATTGTTTTTGTCCCCAACATCCAACCAATGCAGTTTTGATTTTTGTTTAAGGTATCGCTCCTCTAAACCAGCCACTAGATCCCATCTACTGTAGGCTTCAGTTTCTTCTTCCATAGCTCTCGATGAAGGGTTTCTGAGATTTATCTCCTGCTTTTGACAAAGTGTTTCATAGGCTTCCTTTGTCTTCTTCTCCAAATCTCCCAGTCTATCTTTTGCCATGATTCGAATCTTGGGCTTAAGCCCCTTTAATTTTTTTGAGAAACGATGAAGTGATGAGGTAGACAGAAAAATGGCCTCTGTTTCTTCCCAGTAGCTTGCAACCATCGGATTAAACTCCTCCATAGTTGTAAGTGCATTGACGAACTTAAAAGGTTTACGACCACTGACCTGTCCCCCAGCATCAGTATTCAAATTTATTCGACAACGTAGGTGATCGGAACACCCTCCAGCTTCAAACACGCTATAAGATTGCGGATAAACTCGGAGCCAAGCATCATTTACCATAACTCTATCCAGCTTTTTAGAGATTAAATCATTCTCTCTTTTGTTGCACCATGTGAACAGCGGTCCATGGGAAGCTAGATCCGAGATGGAGCAATGGTTCACCACCATCTGAAAATCCCTCATTCCCGATGTAATCACTGGATTGTCCTCCATCTTTGAGTGCTCTGCCATGTCTAGAATCTCATTAAAATCACCAAATATTATCCAGGGTTTGCTACGAATGA